ATTCGCTTCTCTTAATGATCTTGCTTCTCTCGCAAAAACCTTGCAGATTCTTCATCCTCCTGTTGAACGTTTTTTGGAGAGCCGTGGCCGACGCGCCTCGCACTGATGGCCACCAGGGGGAGCCCCACGCGCTTCCTCCTTCCCCTTGTGTTCCAGGGCGCACCTCAAAACGCTGACGTTCTCCTTCGTCCCTCTGGGGGCGCCCGAAGGGCCCTCGCAGAAGATGAGGTGCCTTTCCAGCCAGGCTTCACGCGTGCAGGGCGTGGGAACAGTGCACCCCCGTCCTACCAAGCAGTCCCTTCCTCTTCATTTGCATTGCTCGCTCGTTACCTCTCATCGCGTCCGTCGTCTTATTTTTCAGTGAATTGGAGAACAGAAAATTTTAAAATAGATTTTTCTAATATTCTAGAAGGTCAAACACCTTTCTGCAAAATATCTAGCATGCTAAAGGGGAAGTAATTTTACATGTCTGGGGAAGGTACCATGTTTGCATTAGAAAGGAGCTCTTCTATTGTACTAAAGACTCCCAACAAACCTCTTGAACTCTTAAGCCTGAATTGAAAATGTGTCAATGTTTTCAAAAAATCTGAGGCCTGGAAGCTAGAGCCTCAGTTCCCTCGCCTGCCATTTGTAGAAGCCTTATAGGGGATATCTGGGGTCTTTGAAGAAAAACATTTTCTAAGAAGGCTATTTTGGTTTGCTTGCTCATACAAAAGACAGTGGTTCTGAAAGTGAGGAATGCCATTGTGAGGGAAGCTATTCAACATTAAGAATGGCCAATATCTTTTTTTTTTTTGTCTTTTGAGAAGGGGTCTTGCTGTGTTTGTTGCCCAGGCTGCAGTGCAGTGATGCGATCATAGCTCTCTGCAGCCTCGAACTCCTGGGCACCACTACACCCGGCTACCTTTTTTATTTTTTGTAGACACAAGGTCTCATTATGTGCCGCAGGCTGGTCTCGAACTCCTGACCTCAAGAGCTCCTTCTACTTTGACCTTCCAAAGCACTGGGATTACAGGCGTAAGCCACAGTGCCCGACCACCGATATCTTTTTTTTCTCTTTTTTTGAGACAGGGTCTCACTCTGTCACCCACGCTGGAGTGCAGTGGTGTGATCACTGCTCACTTCAGCCTCTACCTCCCAGGCTCAGGTGATCCTCCCACCTCAGCCTCCCAAGTAACTGGGACTGCAGGCACACACCACGATGCCCAGTTAGTTTTTTTTGTAGAGATGGGGTTTCACCATGTTGCCCAGGCTGGTCTCAAACTCCTGGGCTCAAGCAATCTGTCCACCTCAGCCTCCCAAAGTGCTGGGATTACAAGCTGAGCCACCATGCCTGGCTGTATCTTTATATGTGATATATAATCTGGTGGGAGAACTCAACATAGAATTCTTTAAAAGGACAGATTGGATATTAACATAACTACTGCTAAGTGGATCTAGATCTAACACCCATTTCTCATTCCATTTCTGATGATAAAACACTTAAGAAAGACAAGACATTGGTAGTTAAGACTGTCAGTTTATTTTGCCTCTGCCTCTATCCTAACATTTTTTCAGAGGAGTAAATGGAAGGGACTTGCTTTAAATTGAGTACAAGAAATAATTATTTTAGTAAAGTTGCCTGATCCGCTTATCAGTGGAATAAACCAGGAAGGAGAGAATTCTGATAAGCTCTTTCATCATGACTGTGTTGGAATGTCTCATCCCTCTGTCACTTGCTTTGGTTTGAGCTTCTGATTCAGACAGCATGAAAGAGTGAGACTAAGAAGGAAATTCTTCTCACAGAGAAGCTCAGAGCTGAGCCAATCCTTGGCTGCAGAGAAGGAGGAGCTTTCAGAGTTTGCTGGTTCCAAGTTTTTTTCTGTTACTTACATTTAAAGCTGGAACAGAAGGTCAAAAACCAGGAAGGAAAACAGTATCAAGATATCAAGTCATGGTATTCTTTTTCATTCTTACAGAAAAGAATTCACAAGAGACGAGGAAGCTTTTTTATTTTTATTTTGTTTTGTTTATTTATTTATTTTAAGATGGAGTCTCACCCTGTTGCCCAGGCTGGTCTCAAACTCCTGGGCTCAAGTGATCTTCCTGCTTTGGCCTCCTAAATTGCTGTGATTACAGGCGTGAGTCACTGCACCTGGCCAGTTTTTTTTTTTTTTTTTTTTTTTTTTTTTTTTTTTAAGACAAGGCCTTGCTCTGGAGTGCAGTGGCGTGCTCACAGCTTACTGCAGCCTTGACCTCCCAGCCTCAAGCGATCCTCCCACCTCAGCCTCCTTAGTAGCTAGGACTACAGGTGTCACCACCATGTCCAGCTAATTTTCGTATTGTTTGTAGAGACAGAGTTTCACCATGTTTCTCAGGCTGGTCTCAAACTCCTTGGCTCAAGCAATTTGAGGAAGCTTTTCATTAGAGTCTAAAAATACATATTTGAAATTGAATGACATAAGGTTGACACTAGTCTGGGAATTAGGAAAATACGATTTGCATGTTAGTTCTGGTGTGATCCAGAGAGCCCCTTAACCTCCTTGGAACTGGGTTTCCTCCTCTGCATAGCAAGGCTCCCCTGTGCTTCCCCGTGGGAGACAAGAATCACATCACTGGCATGTTTTCCTCTCCCCTTTGGCTGCCAGGAAACTCAAGAGTCAAATTCAAGGCTTTATTGAAGGAACTCTGCAGGACCCAGGACATGATATCTTGATACTGTTTTCCTTCCTGGTTTTTTACCTTCTGTTCCAGCTTTCATTTTCCCCAATTATAGCATTTTATTATTTTTCATATTTAGTATGTAGTGCACATTTTTACACTACACTTCTAATCCTTTGTGTAATGATCATGGTAGAAATAAATGGCGAAATGAGGAGCTTACACTTAGATGAGTTTCAGGGGCCCTTCCAGTCCCAATTTTCTAGGATTCTTAAGGGGAAAAAGTAATTTTACATGTCTGGAAGGTTCCAGGTTTGCACAGAAGGGAACTCTCCTATCGAGAGTCCTGAAGACTTCAGCAAACCTCCCAGGAGGCCTGTCCAGGATGTTCTCCTCCGTCTGTAAAGGAGCGAGCACTTTGTGCTAATTTAGGGAAAGATAGCTTTTCTGTTGGGATTTCAGACTTGCCCTGCTTGAAATTGGTGGGGAAATACCTGTCTGGGATGGGGCTCAATAATCTGCAGCTGTATTAGGAAATGCCAGTAGTTTTGATGTGGGTGGTTTCAAGATACATTTGGAAAATGTGAGGGAAATGTGTATGTGCATTTGCTAGGCGGGGGACTGTGCTATCCCTGCCCCGGGACCCTAATCCACAGCTTGATTCTGGTCCTTTTGCCCTCTGTCCCTCACCAGAACCCTGATATTTCCAGATGAAAGCAAGAGTATAGCTTATTTCCACAACTCACCTGGGCCCAGCAGTCAAGATCTGTAGCTCTAGGGAAGTATCGAGTTGATTATGAAGTATATAGGTCAAAATGAGTAGCTTGCTTGATTTAACCAGGTAATTCGTGCCATACTTTTCTCTCTGGGAAGACCTGTACCAACAGTCACCTCTGCTAAACACTTTTGCTTTTTTAAACTTGCAGGTACTTTTTTGGGGCCGTCTTTGGCTACCTGTCTGTTGTGAGTTTGTTTTCTTTACAGTCCCTCTACCTGGGTTTAGTCTCATTTGGGAATGAGAAATTTTATTTTAATGCATTAAGTAATAGTGTTGAGTGGCCAACAAATGTGAAGTTTGAAAAGCTCAAATGAAAAAAAGTGTGATAGAAACACAGCATTGGGGGCCGGGTGCGGTGGCTCACACCTGTATTTCCAGCACTTTGGGAGGCCAAGACAGAAGGATCCCTTGAGCTCAGGAGTTTGAGACCCCTGCACAACATGGCAAGACCCCAAGACCCCATCTCTACAAAAAAAAAAAAATATAAAAATCATCCAGGTATGATGGCCTGCACTTGTAATCCCAGCTACTTGGGAGGCTGAGGTGGGAGGATTGCTTGAGCCCGGGGGAGGTTGAGGCTGAAGTGAGCTGTGATTGACCTACTGGACTCCAGCCTAGGTGACAGACCCAGACCCTATCTCAAAAAAAAAAAAAAAGAAGAAGAAGAAGAAGAAGAAGAAGAACACAAGGTTAGAATTTGAGAGGGCCTATTAAACAGGATGCTCTTTCCTGCCTTAGTTTTGAATTAATTGAGAAGATAAAATAATAAGGCATGGAGATTACAGCATCCCCTTTCTTTTTTTCTTTTTTCCTTTTTCTTTTTTTTTGCTCTTGTTGCCCAGGCTGGAGGGCAATGGCACGATCTTGGTTCACCACAACCTCCGCCTTGCGGGTTCAAGCAATTCTCCTGCCTCAGCCTCGCGAGTAGCTGGGGTTACAGGCATGCGCCACCACTCCTGGCTAATTTTGTATTTTGAATAGAGACGGGGTTTCTCCCTGTTGGTCAGGCTGGTCTCAAACTTCCCACCTCAGGTAATCCACCCGCCTCGGCCTCCCAAAGTGCTGGGAATACAGGCATGAGCCACCAGGCCCGGCAGAATCCCCTTTCTTATTGATAAAGCAGATCTTGGAGAATGGGAGATCCTGAGTGGGGTTCCTAATAATAGACTTCAACATCATGCTGAGGCTCCCCTTGTCCTCAAGTAATGGGCAGTGCTGGCCTGAGGTGGATCCTCCTCTGTCCAGAGCTCAGCTTATCCTTGGAAGGCTTAGCACATGGAGGAGCTGTTCCAGGCTAAGAGGAAGGGGCTGGGCTACTCTGTGGGGGTGGTTCTTCCAGTTTCTCCAATCAGATGAGCCTCACTGTCACTCTAGTGTTGAAAGGAAGGAAGAGACAAGGTGGCCAGGAGTGTGACCCTAAAAGAGGCAGAGGAAACCTCAGAGAAAGGGAAGAAGCATTCTGCTAACCAGAGGGAGAAGGATAGAGGCCTCAGTTCTCCCTCTCTGGGAATTAATTTGAGATTTGCATTTAGTGTCAGGAGATATATAAACTTATTTGCTTTTGTTTTGTTTCCATTTTTAGATTCTTGAGTATCAGAACACCACCTTCTTTGGTGGAACCTGTACATCCATGATTGATTACCTCCTCTGGCCCTGGTTTGAGCGGCTGGATGTGTATGGGATAGCGGAGTAAGACATTTGACCTTGTGTTGGTAAATTCCCGGAGTCACACTGAGTAACACTGCTTAAGATGGTCTGCGTGCCCCCTGTAGACATGTTTCAGAATGTCTGTGAAGTGAATCAGGTTTCTAAACCCCAGTGTGTGCTTCCTTGTTAAAAACACATGTGCTTTTCCACTGCTAACTCAGACTCACACTTTGCCCGCATTTCTGCAGATAAGACCCCTAGTCCAGGAGCCTCCCACAGACTTCAGAACCTGCTGTCCTCACCAGCGCCCCCACATGGCCGGTCTGAGAGCTGGTGGAGAGTCACAGTCACAGTGCCCAATGCTTCCACCTAGTCCTGCCGGGTCCCCAGTGGACACCATATACCTTAGTCACGTCTCATTGCCGGACGAATCTTCCCCCAGATAGTAATAACCTTATAAAAAAGATCTGTGTAGTAATATATGCTTGGTGTTGGAACATACAAACAAAATGGCAATGAACACTATGGAAGTATGGAAGTGCAGGGACATTAAAGGTGAAGAAATAGCTGTGTAGGCTCCTGGGCAGAACAGTGAGTGCTCTGTTACTTCAAAGCTCGGAGAAGCTGGACATGTGCAGACGCCCACCCTAATCCAAACCACTCTCATGGTGGGTGCTGGACATTTCTGGCACTTGGAAATCCGGCCCTGCTGAAGCAGAACTGTATTTGCACCTTCATAACCCGTGGGCTGGAGCCCACCCAGGCACTGTCTCCTGCACTTCCGACTTCAGCTCTCTTTGCAGGAGCTTAGATACAACATATCAGGATATTTAAAACTCAGTCTCAAACATAAAATTTACAAAAGGCGGTATCCTCTGAAGACAGAGCATGGAATCACAGGTTAGGAAACCTCACTTCTAGTCCTGGATTTCCCACAGCCCACTCGTATTATCTTCAGCTTGTCGCTTTATAAACCCCAGAACTAAATGTCCTGGTGGATCCTTGAAAGAGCCCTGTCAACTCCATGATTTCAAGGTTTCATTATTGTTTTATTCATTTTAAGCATGTTTTGGAAATTATGTCTTTATTTTTTTCTATCCTCTAAAGTAAAATCTGAGAATGATCCAATAATGTTTGTTTCAGAGGGTTGTCTTTTTGTTGGCAAACAGTGAAGCACATGTAAGTTTCTCAAGCTTTAAAAATATATATTTATTAAAAAACAAAAAAACCCAATGACACACAGACATGTTATTTTCCCAGAGCCATCAGTCCAAAGTATTTCACTGTATTATTAGAAGCAACAACAACTTCTACACATTTGACTTTTCCAAAAATAAGATTTTCCTCCAGTAAATTATCATTCTCACTTGATAGTAAGATAACTGAGATAATTCCCCAAATAAACCCATTTTTCATATCTTGCAAATCTAAAAAGCAATGTGCATCCCCTTTCCTGATGCCTCCCCCTGTGCTGTGCTGACGCTTTTTTCCTGTCTTGCAGCTGTGTGAGCCACACGCCAGCCCTGCGGCTCTGGATATCAGCCATGAAGTGGGACCCCACAGTCTGTGCTCTTCTCACAGATAAGAGCATTTTCCAGGGCTTCTTGAATCTCTATTTTCAGAACAACCCTAATGCCTTTGACTTTGGGCTGTGCTGAGCCTCACCGTCCACCCCTTCACCGTCCAGAATTCCCCAGCTTGTTGGGAGTTTACATCACGGATTGTCTTGGGAATCAATCTGTCTCACTTTCTTTTCTTTGAAGTTCCCAATAAAATGCAAACAGGAAATGTATTCTTCCAATAATCATTTATCTGACTCCTCTAACCCACAGCTGCCGCTGCTGCTGCTTTTTTATTTTTATTTTTTGAGACAAGATCTTGCTTTGTTACCTAGGCTGGAGTGCAGTGGGGCAGTCACGGCTCACTGCAGCCTCGAACTCCTGGGCTCAGTTGATTCTCCCGCCTCAGCCTCCTGAGAAGCTAGGACTACAGGTACGCGTCACCATGCCCAGCTAATGTTTTTTAAAAAATATTGTTGAGACAGGGTCTCACTATGTTGCTCAGGCTGGTCTCCAACTCCTGGTCACTCTGGGTCATCCACCCAACCTGGTCTCCAAAGTGTTGAGATTATAGGCATGAGCCACCTGCCCTGCCTAGTCTGTAGCTTCTGTTTTCTAGAAAGTTCCTGGTGCTAATGTCAGAGCACATTTTGGGTGCCTGTGTGCCTCCTAACTCCTTGGCCTTCAGCCTCGTTTGATCTCCAGATTATTGGTGCAGATGCTGCTGCTGAGGTTCAGGGTCAACCTATGATTGATGCTTGTCACTACAGATTGGCACCCTCCAAAGACCTCCCTGGTGGAAACTTAAGAAGAGGGAGAAGGAAGAAGAAAACACTCCAAGCCCAAATACCTTCCATTTGGCAAATGAATGCCGCTGTCCACGTGGGCGAGCATGAGTGTAATTCTCCAAACTTTGGCCATGGGCCTGGAGACACTGAGGGTCTTGTGACTGGAAAGAATTCCAAAGCAGGAAATGAAACACCGATTTATCACCCAGGACTAACTACGTCAGAATTTCACTGGTGCTGTCAGGGCTCAGGATGTCTCACAAAATGTTCTATAGCCAGCATCCTGCCTTAAAAAAATACACACACCCTAAACCCAGCCACAAGCAAAGGTCATTCCATTGGATTTGCGTCACACTCTCTTCCAATTCCTCTCAACAAATGCCTCTGGTTACCTGTTGTGTACCAAGCCCAGGGGCACACTGGGGATAAAGTTGAAAAAGACACTGGATCTGTCCCTGGGAGCCCCCATCTCTTCACTTACCTTGGTTGAGGTTTTGAACCTAGTGCTTTGGAGCTGCTTGTCTGGTGTGGGGATGCTTGTCTGTGATGGGGCCCCTCTGCCAGCTTCGCCAGGCAGTACCACCCCACTGAAGACAGCAAAGAGCTGAGGATGGCTGGTGCCAACAGGTCCCTTGGGCTGGGAGCATCTACTGCCTCACTGTGGGAGGGGGACCAAGTGTGTCCAGTGCCGTTTCATCTCAGTGTCTGAGGATCAGCCTGTGATCGTTTCAGCTTTGCTCACGCTGGATGCTTTCCCATCCTCCTAGCTGTGCGGAGACACCAGGCAGCAACAGGAGCGATGTTTTGCCTTGTCTGTGCCCCCCAAAGGAGCTGTCTGCCGCCTCTGCCTCTGAGACAGCCCAAACCAGCCCTCCTCTCTCCCCACGTCTCAGCCTGGCTCTGCCATCTGCTGGCTCTGGGTGTATTTTGACCCATGTAAATAGTTACCAGGTGTTACTCTGTGCCAGCTGGACAGAAGCAAGCCTGCTTGGTGAGATGGCCAGAACTTCCAGAAGAGGCACCGCGTGACAGGGGCAGTCTGCCACACCATCTGCTCCGGATGTGGAGCCCTGTTGCCATGGCACCCAAGTTAATGCTGAGTGAGGTCTGTGAATCACCGTTTCCCTGGGATCTTTGCTCAAAAAGAGGGGAATCTTCTCCTGTGGCCTCTCGTAGGACTTAGGAGATTGATCAGCCTTTTGCCGGTACAAATGCTGCATGCTAGTGAGTGCTTGGCGTAAGACCAAAGTTACTACTGATGCAACAGGAAATGGCATGCCTCTGGCTCACCAAAATGAAGGTGTTCTCTTTTGGGGCTCCATACACTAATTTAGAAAGAAAGCTTGAAGAACCAGGAATTATAGAATGGAGAAAAGCACTCATGGGGGAGGTTTGCATCCTGGTGGCCTATAGCCCAGTTTGGGATTTGTGTGCCTCTTGGCCAAGCATGCTCCCTGCGGTTTACCAGGGTCCTGGTCACCTGCACGTCCTTACACTTCCTGCATCTCACTTCTTTGTCACTCATCTGACCCACAGAGAAAACTGAGTTGTCAATCTTTGAATAAAACTAGAAGGATGTCGCCTGGAGGAAAGAGGGAAGGAGGTAACTAAATAATGCTCCATGAAGGACTTTTAAAATATGCTTCTTAAATAAATAATACATGTGGAAAGATAATACATATGGATTAAAAATGCAGTAATGTAAAAGAATAGAAAGTCTTCCATTATCTTATGTCCCAGAGATAACCACTTTTACTAATTGGTGTCTACCTTTTTTTTTTCCCTTTTCTTTTAAATAATAGAGATGGGGTCTCGCTATGTTGACCAGGCTGGGCTCAAACTCCTGGCTTCAAGTGATCCTTCCATCTTGGCCTCCCAAAGTGCTGAGATTATAGGTCTGAGTCACCATGCCTGGTAGGTGTCTATCTTATAAAAAGCCCTACACTTAAGGATTTAAAGGTAAGAGCCTGTATGAGGCCATTCTCATGCTGCTATAAAGAACTGCCCAAGACTGGGTAATTTATAAAGGAAAGAGGTTTAATTGACTCACAATTCCGCATGACTGGGGAGGCCTCAGGAAACTTTCAATCATGGTGGAAGGGGAAGCAAACACGTCCTTCTGCACAAGGTGGCAGAAGAGAGAAGTACAGAGCCAAGGAGGGAAAAACTCCTTATAAAACCATTAGATCTCGTGAGAACTCACTCACTATCACGAGAACAGCATAAGGAAAACACCCCCACAATCTAATCACCTCCCTTGAGGTCCCTCCTCCAACATGTGGGCATTGTAATTCAGATTAAAATTCAAGATGAGATTTTGGGTGGAGCACAGCCAAACCATATCAGAGCCATTCTCTATCTTTTGCAGATTGGAAAAAGAAAAAAAAAAAAAAAAAGTTTAAACCACAGCATTTAAAAGAAGTCGTTGTCATAGATGATGTTAACATCAGAATGGAGGTTGTGTGGAGTTCCCCTCCTTGGAGGTTCTGAACTACAGCCTATCCTGGACTGAGTCCAGTTACAATCTAATATGGCTAGGGGGAGGAGGGAGCATGATGGGGCTGGGCTTGTGTGGCTGGGACAGCTGGCTGTGGTCATGGTGCTGGTGCTGGAGACTAAGTGGTACTTGAAATTTCTTTTAGATCTAAAATTCTGTGATATGGTTTGGATCTGTGACCCCCCCAAATTTCTTGTTGAAATTAATCCCCAGTGCTGGTAGGAGGTGATTGGATCATGGGGGCGGATTTTTCATGAATGGTTTAGCACCATTCTCTTGGTGCTGTTCTCATGATAGTAAGTTCTCATGAGATCTGGTTGTTTAAGTGTGCAGCATCTCCCTGACCCCTCTTGCTCCTGCTCCCACCATGGGAGATGCCTGGCTCCCCCTTTGCCTTTTGCCATGAGTGGAAGCTTCCTGAGGGCTCTCCAGAAGCAGAAGCTACTGTACTTCTCGTACAGCCTGCAGAACCATGAGCCAATTGAACCTCTTTTTAAAAAAACTTTAAGTTCAGGGGTACATGTGCAGGATGTGCAAGTTTGTTACATAGGTAAACATGTGTCATGGGGTTTGTTATACAGATTATTTCATCACCCAGATATTAAGTCTAGTATCCATTAGTTATTTTTCCTGATCCTCCCCCTCCTCCCACCCTGCACCCTCCAATAGGCCTCAGTGTGTGTTGTTACCCTCCATATGTCCATTGTTCTCATCATTTAGCTCCCACTTATAAGTGAGAACACGCAGTTTTTGTAAACCTGTTTTCTTTATCAATTGCCTAGTTTCAGGTGTTTCCTTTTAGCAGTGTGAGAACAGACTAATACAGAAAATTGGTACTGAGGAGTGGGGCATTGCTATAAAGATGCCTGAAAACGTGGAAGTGACTTTGGAACTGGGTAATGGGCAGAGGTTGGAAGAGTGTGGAGGGCTCCAAAGAAGACAGGAAGATGAGGGAAAGTTTAGAATTTCCTAGAGTCTGGTTGTATAGTTATGACCAAAATGCTAGTAGTGATATGGACAGTGAAGGCCAGGCTGAGGAGGTGATGGAAATGAGGAGCTTATTGAGAACTGGAGCAAGGGTCACTTTTGTTATACTTTAGCAAAGAACTTGACTGCATTGTGCCCCTGGCCTGGGGACCTGTGGAACTTTGAGCTTGAGCGTGATGATTTTAGGGTATCTGGCAGAAAAAATTTCGAAGCAGCAAAGCATTCAAGATGTGCCCTGGCTGCTTCCAACAACCTATGCTCATATGTGTGAGCAAAGAAAAGACATTAAATTGGAACTTACATTTACAGGGGAAGCAGAGCATAAATGTTTGAAGAATTTGCAGCCCCCTATGTGGTAGAAAAGAAGAGCCCATTTTCAGGGGAGGAATTCAAGCAGGCTGCAGAAATTTGCGTAAGTAAAAAGAAGCCAAGTGCTAATAGCCAAGAAAATGGGGAAAAGGCCTTGAAGGCATTTCAGAGACCTTTGTGGCAGCCCCTCCCATCACAGACTCAGAGGCCTAGGAGGACAGAATGACTCTGAGTATTAAAGTAGATTTAATCTAAATCATAAAGTACGAGCTAGAGCATTCCCTCCGGTGCTGCAAAGACTGCCTGCATGTGGTTCCCACATTGTTCCTTGGAGCTTTGGTGGTGGGGGTGGTGGTGGGGGCAGGTGTTATTTTTCTTGGTTTCTCACCTTCAGGTTTCCTTACCCATGTTTCCTTTGTCAGAGTCATTGGCATTGATGGAGGGGGGACTGGGTTACTCTGAGTTGAGAACCAAGCTTGACTCCCCTGTGGTTTATAGCAGCCTAGCTTAGTTTGTTGTCTGAAGTCTTCACAAATAACCAAATATCCAGCCCAATGCAGTTCTCATTGAGTAATCTCCAGTTCCCACCCCCTGCCACACACACACACTGAACACTGTGCCCACTTGGGAGACCCATTTCCCATTTATTGTCATCTTTGAGTGCCTGGAAGGCTGAACATTTGATCTTTTCAAACATTTTGCTCTCATCTGACCTGTTAGAGCTCTTGAGCCTTTGAAAATGCCATTTCCTCTACATACTATTCTTCCTCAGAGCAGCCCTATGTTTTTTTTCCCAACCAGTCTTTTCTCTTGCAGAGTTCAGATCAAAATTCTTCTTTATGTAAAGAGAAGTGGTGTGCTATAGGGGTTACAAACAGGGCTTCAAGGTCAGCGTTGGGTTCAAATTCCGGCTTTGCAACTTAAGTTTCTTGAGTAAGTTGCTTCACTTCTATCAGACTCAGTTTCTTATCTGTAAAATGGGACTGCTTAGTACCTATTTCACAGGGCTGTTAATTAATGATGGGCTCATCTATGCAAGGGCTTAGTATCAGCTGGGTGAAACTCAGTGAATGGCAGGCAACCTTATTATGATGAGGCTTCTGTCAGTGATCAGACTTGAACCCTGTGCTCATCCCCCCATCACTTTGTGGAACTAGATGTCCTACATTGCATATGGCTTGATTCATGGTTTGGAGTTGTTTTCTGGTTGTTTCCTGTGTGCAGGTTTAATCTCAACCTGTGATCCCTTGAAAGCTGTGATTTTATCCCTCCCCCTCCTCCTCCCTCACACCCCAAGGCCAAGTTTAATACTGCACATTCTGAAATTTTGCAATGTTGTTAATGATGTAAGATAAATATTCTCTCCCATGTTTCTGAAGAATACTCAGAATCTCACTACTCTCTGTTAAAGAAAAAAATCATTCACTGACACTTGTTTAAAGCATGTGAAGGAAGAATTACTCATAACCATTGTGATAGGTGCAGGGACCACTGCAATGAGACTTTTGCAGTGGGGGAGGGAGATTGGGCTCAACTCTGAGTACAGGATGAACAAGTGGGTAAATTTATAGCCCAGGAGTAGAGCAGAGATCACTGGATTGAAAATTACTCGGAGGAAACATCAGGGATAAGGAGGATTCTGGCTAAACTGACCTAACAGGATTCTTGCTGAAGAAGGCCAGGATGATCAGACATCACCTGTGGGATGGCGGAGGACAAGGGACTTGATCAGATATCAAGGATGATCTGATATTGAGGTGGGGAAGTTCTTTTGCCAAACTAACTTAGCAGGGTTCTTTGGTAAAACAATTTTACAAGGACATACACAGATGGACCTAGGAGGAGGCTCAGGAGCCTGACTAAAGTTTGGTTAAGCAGAGAATCTGTCTCCTCTTGGAGCAGGTTATCTGTTTCCGAGGGTTAAAATGTGAGGGCTTTGAAATGCTTGCAGGCCTGCCCAATTACCAAGCAGCTCGGATGCTGAATGGAACGCTAAAGTGCCCCCGTACCATGCTGCGCACACAGGATGGTTACACACGTGCTCCAAGGACAAGAACTGTGTAATACTCTGCCCTGCCATTTCCTCCCAAGGATCGCTGCAATGCCCACGAATCCCCTTGCACTCAGCAAGGGTCTCCGGCCTACTTTGTCATTAGCAAACAGCCCCTCCAGAGGGAGCAGTTGAGCAGCAACAGTCAGCTCCCCGCCATAGGAGCCAATATGAAGAGCCATTTCCAGTCCTGTCCTGCGGCTGAGATGGACAAAGCAATGGAGGTAGCGGTTGCTTAGTGATGCTGCTGCCCCCCAGAGAACCCTGAGTAGGGGCAGCCTCTGTTCCAGCGTCACAGGACTGGAGAACCCTGAGTAGGGGCAGCCTCTGTTCCAGCGTCACAGGACTGGGGGAAGGAAGTGGGAGGATGACTGTTAGCAGGAACAGCCGTTGCTAAATCTGGGCATAGTCTTCAGGTTATGCTCACAGGTGAAGAAAATCTCTCAAAAGGTGCATGTGTGTGTGTGTGCGCGTGTGTTTACATGTTTTTGTGACTTTCTGCCATAAGAGGAGAGTATCGGGATGAATAATGAGGAGCTGTATAAAAGATAAGGGCGGAGGCATTTTAAGTATTTCACTTAATGGTTGTTGGCCATTTATTTGTTAAACACAAAGACCCTCTTTGGGGACTTTATCTGAGACACTGTCCCAGGTGATCTGATAGCAGCAGGGAGGTGGAGAGGTGGGGACACACAGACATCCCAGGTACAATGGCAGCAGGGGCTGCTTATCCTGGACGCCAGGGAAGAGTTAGCTGAGGAAACTGCAGGAAGCCCTAACCGGAAACTCGGGCTTCAGCCTTGGGTTTTGGAGGAGGGAATGTAGGGTAGATTCAGAACAACAGTAAACCTTCTGTTTACTGAGCACTTACTATATGCTAGGTACTTTACATATATTACTAATACCTCCAAACCTTATGAGGTAAGTACCAATTACTCCCATTTTACAGATCAGTAAACCGAGATTTAGAGGTGGAGTCGCCTGCCCAGGTGTTGCATAGCTAGTGATGAACAGAGCTGAGGTTTGCTTGCGGGAGGCTGACTCTGGAGCCTGTGCTCTTAATCTCTGCCCTGCTCGGCCTCCCCACTGCCAGCACTACCTCGCCTCCTGCCCTTGCTGCCTTCCTCTTCTGCTTTCCCCCCTGGACTGGGAGCTCTCTCAAGGCAGGAATAGTTTCCCACTTGACTTTGTTTTCCTGGTGTTTGGCACAGTGCCTTGTGTATAGTAGTGATGAATGACTGAGCAAATGGAAGGATGGATGGATGGATGATGTAGAAACCCAGGCCACTTCCAGGAGCTCATCACAAGGCCACTATCATAGCTGTTTCCCCACTTTGCTGTCTAGAAGAGGTAGCTGCTTCTCTGGAGCCGCAGGGATGCCCCACCTGGTACTCTCTCTGGCTCCGCTGTTGCTATGGCAACTGCAGGTCCAGGCTCTGGCTGTCCTGCAGAGGGACAAGAACAGAGGGGTCAGAAGGGCAGAGGCAAGAGACTCTTTCTGTTTCCCTAAACAGGGGACATGTCCCAGACCCCTCCAGTGAGGTGCACAAACATTTTCTGAGCACCTGGCCAGCGTCTGGCCCTAAGGGAGGTGTGTGAGGGAATCCCCAGGGAAGACAGACCCCCATGTGTGAGGAGGCACTCCCATGCGGAGGGACAGCTTACACTGCTGGGGGAACCAGGCAGTAGGAGTTGGGCTGTAAGGAGCCCTCCTCAGAGCAAGGGGAAGAATCTCCGCAGTTTTTTTGTTGAGTTTGTCAGGCCCGAAGCTAACTGCATCACACATGCCCTTTCATTTAACCTTCTCAATGGCGCCAGCTTTGTCATGAAGGCTGGTACCTTGTGGGCAGGACCTTGCATAGGCCTCCATATTGAGAGGGTATATGGAGAGAGGGCAGGAGGCCTGCTCTTGTTTCTCTCTGGATTTAAACGTTCAGGCTGAGCAACCTTGCAGCTTAGTGTGGCATCTTGTGTTGCTCTGGATGCGTGGAGCTTGTGCAGCTTCCTTGCCTGGCCAGAAGCCCTCTCCATAGATTTGTTTCCTCTCTGTGGCATTTTGTCCCTATGGAGAGGGCTTCTTAGAAACTGCACTGGGCAAAGCTGTGGATACCCAGGGGGCTGAACACCACTGACCTTCTCCCTGGCCCTGAATCTGGCTCTACATACAGGACCTGCTCTAGTCTCGCTTGGCTTTGATTCCTGGGGTGGGAGTACATGGGGTATGTATGGGCTGACTCACTGTCCTTGGCTGGGAGAACTGGGGGCTGACCTACAGCTTCCAGACCCCTGGGGGGCTGATTCAGCACTAGCCATGCCTTTTGGAAGAGATGCAAGGCCATCGTCCCAGGAGACCTTTGGTCTAACATAGCCCAGTCCTTTCTTCAGGAAGAAGGCCTTCTTCATGGCAGCAAGGCCGTGGGGGCTGTGGGCGTCATCTCTGGCCAGTTGGGAAGACAGCCAACGGCAGCTAATGGGAAGAAACAGGGTGTGGGTCTTTGCTATTTCTACTTTAAATAAAGTTGCTCCAAAAGAAACCTAAAATATCACTGACCTGTGGGTTTGAAAGAAACAGATGGGACAAAATTTTCCGAACTCCCTAACCCACCCCTGTGCTACAACTCTCAATTCACGCTTTTAAGGCCCACCTTTTCCCATCAAGAAGAAATGTCTTTGAACATCTCTGAGGTTTATGTGGTTCCCTCTTTCGAGTTTTATTTTCTAGTTTCTTTGTGGGGGTGTAGAGAAACATCAAAGGGTGGAAAATGCCATTTTCACTTGTAAAGTAGGGCCCCACATTGTGCAGGAGGAAATAAACCAGACCCAGGCTAGGATGAATGGAGTAAGTAGAAGCATTTGAGAGACAGAACAATTATGTGGATTTGATTTTCTTTGGGGAGGCTCTTCACATTTTCCCATTTGTAAGGGAGTTAAAGAGGTTACAGCTGAAACTCAAAGCTGATCTGTTTTCACATTCCGCTCATGTGGGCTTCAGAGTCACACAATTTCACTTTCAATGACTTACCACACTTCATTGATCTCTCACTTACTTTGCAGCCATTGGTAGTCTTCCTATTAGACCCAGTTCCTTGGGGACAGAGCCCCCATCTTATAATCTTGTTCCCCACATAGAGCCGGACCCAGGCAGAGCACATGCTGTTGCTCAGTACTTGGTCAAACGCCTTTTCCCCACTGTTGATTCATGACGATTGAATAAATCCCAGGCAATGGTTCTTTTTAGAAGATGCTTGGTGGTGAATCCATACACAGGAAGTACAGAATATGGAGATTACTGGGAGAGGAAGGATCATTTCAAAACAGGATTTGTGCACAGAGACGTTCACTAGAGTGTTGTTTGTAACAGCAAAAAGTGGAGACAACTTAAGTGTTCCTCAGTAGGGAAAGTTCCTCGGTAGGGAAATATATGTGTGTGTGTGTGTGTGTGTGTGTGCGTGTGTATATATATATATTTTTTTTTAAGACACGGTCTTACTCTGTCACCCAGGCTGGAGTGCAGTGGAGAGATCACGGCTCACTACAGCCTCTGCCTCCTAGGCACAAGCGATCCTCCCGCCCCAGCCTCCTCAGCAGCTGGGACTACAGGTACACGCCACCATGTCTGGCTAATTTATGTATTTTTTGTAGAGACAAGGTTTGCCATGTTGCCCAGGCTGGTCTCAAACTCCTGGGCTCAAGCGATTTTCCTGCCTTGGCCTCCCAGCGTGCTGGGATTACAGGCATGAGCTACTACACCCGGCCAGTAAGCAACTATTTTAAAGAATAAGGTAGAGCCAAATGTTCAAAAAGATAACCAAGAAGAATTAGTCGGTATGATGCCATTTATGTAAAAAAGGACTAAAAGGTTGCATACATATATAAATACATGTGACGCATACACAGAAACATTTTGGAAGGATGCACAAAAAACTTCATATTGGTTATCTCTGGGGAGTGGACTAAGAAGTCAGAAGTGGGACCGTTAGTCTGTTACTTAATTTTCCTGTTAGTACTTGAATTTTAAAATTATGACTGTATTATTGCTTTTATGTTTATTTTTTAAACAACAAACTAGTTGTTTAAGCAAGCTATTTTTGGACGGCAATGAGAAAAGTTAACTCTAAAAGATGCCCCTCCCAGGGCCAGGGGTGCAGCAAGGCGGAGTGGGGTGGAGAGGGAGGGCCCAGTTGAAGGCACACATTGCCTTTCACTCTGTGACTCTTGGCTCCCTCTGCTTTCGGTCGCTGGCCAAACCAAACAGCCTTCCAGCTTTGTCCCATGAGGTAGAAACAAGATGGACCACGAAAATGTTCTGAATCACAGCCTTGGGGCGGCTTGAGTTAGGACTTCCTGGATATTCACCGACCACTGCCAGCTGCCACCAACCTTGCTCTGGCAAGCCATGTACCCTACAGCACAGTACATGGATGACACTGATCACATAGATGAGGACTCCATAGTTTGGGGGTGAATCAAGTTACTGTCTCACTCAAAACCCACCAATGGCCCATCTCTGCTTGTTGTAAGGTCCAAATTTACCTTGTATTAGCATTCAAGGCTTTCCATGGCTCAGTCCCACTCTTATCTTTTCAACCTCATTTGCCACGACTTCTGAGTATATGCCAACATATACACCAGGACTCCCTGGGTTGGAATCTGGGCGGTGCTACTTACCACTCTGACAGTAGGTAAGTCACTTGCCCCTTCAGTGCCTGTTTCCTTATCTGGAAAGTAGGGAGGATAAGAATAGCACCCACACCATAGGACTGACATGGAACTGTGTGCATTAACAAATGTGTGTGCAGAACGGTGCCTGCCATACAGTAGGTACTTCCCACCCTCACTCCATGGTTCTGGCCGGAATGCCTTTCCTGGCCACAGTCCTGGTCATTTTTCAGAGGCTCTATCTGGCAGCACCCCATCATGAGGCCTTCCCTAATCACCCCAGGTACCAGTGGTTCTTGGACATCCAGAATCACGTGGGGAACTTGGTGAAGTGCAGATTCTTCTATCTAACTTCTCAGGATCCCACTGGAGTCTGACACAGCCCAGGAAGCTGCACCCAGGTGATACCCATATGTGTAGTGCAGGGTCACGCTTGGAGTAGGTCAGTACTTGGAAGGCTACCTTCTGCTGTCTCTCCTAGGGAACAGGCTTGGTCCTGTTCATCTTCCTATTTTCTACAATGTCTCATGCATGTTAGGCTCCTGACAAATGCTTTTGGACTACTCATGACCTGCTTGGGAGAAGGGCTCACCATCTTACGCCTTCCTGCCCTCTCTCTGATGTTTATGGCACTACTGTGAATGTGGGTGCCCTCATGAGAAGTTTGTGGTATAGCTGATGCCACTTAGACCACAGATTCCAAGCAGGCTCACTGGCTTTTCCCAGGTCTATCTATCTTCCAATAGATCTGTAGGGAAAGTAGTCCACTTGGGTTTTCTTTAGCTTTCCATTAAGAAAGAAAGTGAGAAGCCTTCCTCAGCTAGGAGTACCATCAGTCACTTGGGGGAAATCTTTAAAAATCAAGCCTAGCCTGACCACTCCAGACTGGATTCTGAGCACCATGTAGGTTTGAGGCGGGGTCTAGGCAATGGACCAGGTTCTGCAGGTGATTCAGATGACACCCTTGATGATGAACCAGAGCACCACCCCAGGTTCTCAGCGGGGGCTGTGCTTCAGCCAGGCATGCAGAGGGGCTGGCGCTTTTGAGGACATAAGGCCCTTCCCCAACATAACCAGCCTCTTGGCCTAGGGGCCAGCCCTATTCATTTCACTCTTGTTCTTTAGCAAAGCAAGTGAGTAGATGCTGGGGAAAGTCAAGCATCCTTGGGAAAGAGACTCTGGAGAAAGAGGGCAGGGTTGTCCTTAGTGGAAAGGCCAAAGTGCCCTAGAAGACTCAACATCCTCTATTTAAAATACAATCTCTTTCTTTAAAACCCAAAAGCTTCCTGTTAGTTCCAGCTCCTGTATTTCTCAGCTCACATCAGCTCTGTGAAATAAGGTCTCAGGCTGGAATCCACCCTACAGCCAGCTTTTGAAGGCCCTTTCTGGACCTCTGCAGGTAGCACACAAGTTGCCTCAAAGACAGGGTAGAAATGTTCTGTTTTGTTATTTTTTAAAGTTTCCTGAAAGTTTAAGAATAAAAAGGGAGTGAAAGCTTCTGCTCTGTCAGTAGGAAATCCACAACCCTGTCCCCAGCTGTGCCCTGAGAGCCTCACAGATTTCCTGAAGTTAAAAACAAACACTGTGACCATTTCTACTGCTTGCAAGATTTAATTCTTCCTTGAATATAAATAAGGCAGCATGAAACACCAAGAGCGCCACTGCTTTCTGCTTTAGAAGCAGCTTTGGTGCAGAAAAGATTCTCATTTCCCCACCGAGTTCTGCTGTCTCCGTATAAACAAGAAGCTGAAGGTTTTTTTTTTTCCAGTGAACTTTCTCCTGGAAGCAAAGGAGAAGCTGTGGGAGATCGAGGCACAGGTTTGGCTTCTGGAGGCTGTTTTTTTGTTATTGGGGTCTCTTCAAAGCAAAACCGGATCAGAATGAAGCGGGGAAAGGCATGGGCCATAAATAAATAAGGAAATTTGCCCCGATTCTACAAATGCATCTGATGGAATGAGGAGGGTGGGGCTGTGAGGGGTTCGGGGTAACTCCAGGCTGCTGTTAGGGACACACTTGAGCTGGTTCATTCCCTGGAGTGCCCCGCAGCTGGGTCTAGGGAGAGGTAGGCCCAAGCACGTGTTCAGTCTAATTCCAGCTCACACTGGAAGCCTTCCTACAGGTTTGGTTGCCCTGATCACAGCCGAGCTGCCCCACCAGGAATTAACCCTGGCTGGGCAAAGGGTCCATTTTCTCAAGCTTTCTGAGGCTGGTTGAGAGAGCTCCTAGGGATGGGGGAAGGATCTCCTTCCTTCAGTTTATGGGGGAACTGGGCACCCCTGTCCAGTTTTTTTGTGCTCTCTGGAAGGCAAGGCCGGCTGAAACCCTGGAGGGAGAACACAGGTATATTCTCGACCCTGGCCCCCTGCAAGGGTAAGTGAAGTGATGGTGAGAGAAAATCTCAAAGGGCCAGTGAAGCCACAGGTGGAGAAGAGGCTTCCTGATCCCCCTGAACCAGACCTGGAGATGGAGCGCCTCATCGAAGAAGTCCACTGTCTTACAGTAGACACTTCGCTGCAGGACGCAGGGCCAGAAGAGGTTGAGAAGCTTGGCCCTGCGCGCAGCCTCTGGGAGTGCCATGGCCTCAGGCGCCTTGCGGTTGCCAATGAAGAAGTGATAGAGCTTCTTTTCCAGCTGTCCTTTGCCACAGTCACCCTGTGTGTCTCTTTTTCCAGGTCAGCTTCTACCTTTAGCATCCATCCTCCCCCTACCACAATGAGAGTCAGAGAGACCAGCTTTGGAGAGAATAAAGAGAGGTGCAGGGCTGCTGAGCTGGCATCCAGTGTGGCAAATGACATCCACCATGCTCGGGATCCAGTACGTTGGGGAAAGGACAGCAGAAGGGGTGCACCTGAGTGAGAAGCGTAGCTGAAAAAGTGGCTGGGTTTCTCTATGCCACCAAGTACCCATTTCTGTGTGACAGAGACGTTAGTCACTCGGGCCTCGAATTTATACAAGGTCTTTTCTCCAAATAGTATAAAAAAGTGGCAGCCATGGCGGGACCACTATTGTGCAGGATGTGGATCAAAGTTGGACATTCCCACACCTGTCCCTGTTAGTGCTTTGGCTGCAAGATGGTCAGGCCAGGGGCTCCTGGGAATAGCGGTGCTGGGTCTTAACACGGTTCCCTGTCAGCCTTCTTGTAGATCCTCTGCTCATATTCAAGTACAGACTGGATCTGGGATGCAAAAAGAATTACACCAAATCCAATATTTGCATTGTCTCTACATAGCATGTTCTGTCACCATCTTGGCCATTCATGGTGATCGAGAAGTTAACTGCAAGGGATCAGTCCCTAAACCCAAATAACAGCTTTACCAACAGATCCCAATGGTATGAAAGGAAACCAGCTTCCCGCTGAAATTCTGTTTCCTCTGTACTGTAGGGCTTGGCTTCCTGGCAGGCTGAGCACGGCTCCCACGAAAGCCCGCCTTGTCCCCAGAACAGGGCTGCAGATGCCACCAGGGGTGTGAACGTGAGGGATGCCCTCATCTTAGCTCGAGGGTCCCACATGCTCTACAAGACGTCAGCTTTTTGGGGTAGGCTGGCGTGGTCTGAGGGGACATGTAGGGAATACTCGCTAATGAGTGCTGGGGCATTCTTGAGCATCTCATAGAAGGAGTCCAGTGTCTTACGGTAAAGACTTCGTTGCAGGACGAAGGGCCGGAAGAGGTTGAGGGGCTCGGCCCTGAGCACGGCCTCCGGGAGTCCCATGGCCTCGGGCACCTTGCGGTTGCCGATGAAGAAGTGGTGGAGTTTCTTCTCCAGCAAGCTCTTCTCCAGGAAGCAGAGCAACTCATGCAGACGAGCGTC